GGCGTACCACAAGATACTTACAGAAGCACGTGAATTTTGTGTCGTTGTCAAGTACATGTGTTCAGTGATTTATTCGTTTGAATTGGTGGCTCGTTAGTCGTACGTTCTCGGGGTTGCCGCACATTTAATTATTATAATATTGTATTTTTTATTGTGCAAATGTGCGCATCCTGAGACGGTAGCGTTTGGTTTGAAGCCGCTAACGGACACCAGTTCTCCAGGTAATCAGCTGACGAGCTGTTTTAGTTTATTATTCAATATAATTATTATTATTTTTTTTGTGTGCTAATCAAGCACTTTAATATTATTATTATTACTATATATTTATTCAGCTGGTGGGTGCCAAATAGGCATTCCACACTTGTTATTATTATTTATTTTATTGTACTAAACCAAAGTACCTAACATTATTAAAATTCAATAAATTCAATTATTTGTATCAATATCATTTGGATTATCTATATTAATTCCTTTTGTTATTTATAAGGTTGTTAGTGCAATATTTATATTTAACTAACGCCTAGTCGTGAAGGCACCCTTAACGTTTATTATTATATTTATTTTTTGTTAAGAGCCGAACGCGACATTTTTTGGTGACCTCGACGTGATTGCGCTCGCTTTCATTATTATAGATAATCCTGAAACATTAACATCATATTCAAAATAATATAAAACAAAAAAAATCATTTTTATTTTATTCATTCATTTTCTCATATTGATTTATGTAAGTTGGTACTTGGTTTTGTATTGCATTACATTATTATAACATTGCATATTGTTCATATTTATATATTTGTTAGTTGAACATTAGACATATTACAATATTATACTTGTTCTACATCTGTAAATCAAAGTCAACATCATGGTCGACACCGATCTCGCTGCTTTGCCTAAGGAATTGCGTAAGATGATCAAGAAGCGTCAGTCAATCAAGGACTCGATAAACTCCATCAGGGACTATGTCAACAAATTCATTCCAGCAAGTTCATCTGTGCGTCAATTACAAATCCGTTTATCAAAATTGACTGCATTTATGGCTGAGTTGTCTGTCATTCAAGAAGCCATTGTTGATTTTGATCTGGGACATGAAGATATCACTGAACAAGTTGCATTTGAAGACTTCACATTCACCTTAGTGGCTGACATGGAAGAGCTTGTAGAAAAACATGGACCAAGTGCAACCTCAAGTTCAATGCATCCTAGCAACCAGTCAAGTGCATCAGTCAATGAAGCTATGAGATTGCCTACAATTAACATTCCCACGTTCAATGGTGAGATAGAGAATTGGGCTTCCTACATTGACACCTTTAATGCACTATTCCACAACAATCAAAATTTACCAAATGTTCATAAAATGCATTATCTTAAGTCAGGTGTCTGCGGTACAGCCGCTGAGGTGATTAAAAGTTTCTCAATTACTTCAGATAATTACCAAGCCGCTTATGATGAATTAGTAAAGCAATATGAAAACAAGGCGTTAACTATCCAAGTTCATATTCGTGCATTATTGAATTCGCCAAAGGTACATACTAATTGTGCTGCTGAATTAAAAAAATTACATTATCATGTTAATTCTCATGTTCGCTCTCTCATCGCTTTAAAGCAACCTGTACAACATTGGGATGCCTGGTTGACAACAATTGTATGTTGTCATCTAGATCCAACTACTGCTGGTGAGTGGCAGCTGCTACAAACCAGCAAGGAGCTCCCTGCATTTAAAGATATTGAGTCGTTTCTGTCTAAACGCATAGCTGCCTATGAAGTCGGTTATATTTCATCAAAGTCTGATACAAAACAAGCCACTGGAAAGCAAAATCAGTATGGAGCCAAAAAACATGATGTCGTCAAGGCATTTTTTGCCAAAAAAGCTGAACCTCATACTATCAAGTGTGTGTTGTGTACAGCGCCACATAGAATTTATGCATGCAACCAATTCAATCAAATGTCAGTATCTGAGCGTAAGGATATTGTAACCAAATTTAAATTATGTTTCAACTGTTTGAACTTCGGACATCAAGTTGAATCTTGTTATTATCCTGGATGTCCACGTTGTGGCAAAAAACATAATTCAAGACTACATGCTGACTCGAGCCATATATCAGAACCAGAGAGCTCTACGCAAACTGAGACACAGAAAACCAGTCAACATAATACAGTATGCCATGCGATGACCAGTAATAAGCATGCGTCAAGTACCACGTCCACTGTGATGCTTGCTACTGCTGTAATAAATGTTCATGACTCTGATGGGCAACCACAACGCTGTAGAGCCATCTTGGATTCTGGATCTCAACTTAATTTCATAACGTCATCTTGTGCTCAACGCTTGCGTTTAAAGAAGACTAATATTTCATTGTCAATATCTGGTGTTGGTACTATGTCTTCTTCCACTGTGCGTTTAATGCCATGCACTATATCATCGCATTGTCAAAACTATCAATCCTCGATTGAATTTCATTCATTGCCAACGATAACAGAAAGACTTCCCCATCAAATGTTCAGCATGGATCAATTGAACATACCTAATGATGTCAAGGGCAATCTAGCTGATCCTCAACTCAACGTACCAGCTGCTGTTGACATATTATTTGGCGCTGAGCTATTTTATGAAATTTTCCTGGGTGCACGTAAACAGCTGTCCAAGCATATTAGTGTACACAATACAAAACTTGGTTGGATACTTGTTGGTAAATTATTTGAGAAGTCATTAGTCAAGTCAAAAATGACTATGCTATCTACCCCTGTATCTGTCAATTCTGCTTTAAGTCTATTTACCTCAACAACAAATGCTCAATTCATTGAAGAAGCTCAAGCGGAGAAGCACTTTTCATCAACTGTTAAGCGCGATGAAAGTGGGAGATTTGTTGTAAGGCTTCCAGTTAATGACAAGATCCCATTCCTTGGCGATTCTCGACCAATGGCAGAAAGGCGGTTCTACAATTTAGAAAGAAGACTTGGTAAAGATAAAAAATTGGCAGAGCAATATGACATGTTTATTACTGAATACTTGGCGTTAAACCAAATGGAGCTGGCAAGTCCTACATGGACTGGACCAAAATATTATTTGCCTCACCATCCAGTATTTAAGACCAATAGCACGACCACAAAACTTCGGGTAGTTTTTGATGGTTCTGCCAACACCAAGTCCGGAATAGCACTCAATGATGTTCTGTTGAAAGGACCAAAAGTACAGTCAGATATATTTCATATCCTTCTTCGATTTCGCATTCACCAAGTAGTAATCACAGCGGACGTCGAGAAAATGTACCGACAAGTGTTAGTTGCACCTGAGGATAGAAACCTCCAACGAATTCTTTATCGAAAAAGTCCTACTGATCAACTACAAGAATACCGGCTGTGCACTGTAACATATGGGACAAAGTCAGCCTCGTATTTGGCCACTCGTTGCCTAGCTGAGATTGGAAGAAGCACAGACAATCCTAAATTAAATCGAGTTATCACTCAAGATTTCTACGTTGATGACCTCCTGAGTGGTGGGGCCTCTGAAGATGAATGCTATCAAATTTACACTTCACTATTAAAACATTTTAGTCCAGCTGGTTTTCCACTTCGTAAGTGGTGTTCCAACTCAGTCAATCTTATTAGCCAAATACCATCAGCGTGTAATGACCCAACGTTTGTATTGAAACTCAGTGAGGATGATACGGTTACAGCCTTAGGACTCACATGGCAACCTATCACTGATCAGTTTCGTTTTACGATCAAGCATTGGTCACCGCCGTTAAACATGACCAAGCGTACACTATTATCAGACATCAACTCAGTTTATGATCCTATTGGACTCATATCCCCGGTACTAATTCTTGGAAAAATTTTCATTCAACAATTATGGGGAATGAAGATGAGCTGGGACGACATTATCTCATCTGAATTGCAAGCTCGATGGATAAAATTCTACAACTCTCTTCAGTCGTTGCATGAATTGGCCATACCACGCAAGGTTATCAACACTGCAGATTCAAAGGTCACCATTCATGGTTTTTGCGATGCATCGCAAGAGGCATTTGGTGCATGCATTTACTTACGTTCTGCCAGTTCAAATGGTCAAGTGAAGGTACACCTCCTGGCATCCAAATCTCGTGTTGCCCCAATGAAGGCTACAACCATCCCTAGACTAGAACTATGTGGTGCAGTATTGTTGGCGGAACTGTTGCTAGAGGTAAAAAATGAACTCAGTTGTTTAGGCATGCAATTCAGTATAAATGAAATTTTACTATGGACTGATTCATCAATTGTTTTGGCTTAGCTAAAAAATGAAGTCCCTTTACTATCATTCGTAGCAAACAGAGTTGCTCGAATATTAGACATTACAGATAATGTTCAATGGCACCATGTTATTTCTAAGGAAAATCCTGCCGATCAAATAACAAGAGGTATACATCCTGCTGCGCTGCCTTCATTGTCAATTTGGTGGAACGGACCATCCTGGTTACTTTTGGAAAGTGATTCATGGCCAGGCATTCCAGAGCTACCATCAGAAATCCCTGAAGTTCGTCCAGTGAAATTAGTGTTGGCTACAGCTCATTCATCCGATTCCTGGCTGCTGAACAAATATTCAAGTTACATGCAACTTCTACGTATAACTGCCATAGTCCAACGATTCGTACACAATTGTACATTACAGAGGAAACTCATGGATCAACGTACGACAGGTGCATTGACTGCACGTGACCTCAAAGGATCCAGAGAGTTTTGGATTCGCAAGATTCAGGCTGAAGCTTATCCCTCGGAACTAAAGGCTTTAAATTCAAACTTGCCCATTCATCGGTCAAGCTGTCTGTCAAAGCTAAATCCATTTGTAGACGGTATTGGCATTTTGCGTGTGGGAGGCCGCTTAGCGTATGCACCAATACATGACAATACAAAGTTTCCAATTGTATTGCCGCCCTCATCAACTTTCACAAGACTATATTTCAAATATGAACACCTGAGACTAATGCATGTTGGTCCACAAGCATTGCTCTCGCACATACAAGTTAATTACTGGCCCATCCGTGGACGAAGTCTTGCCAGTCGAACCGTGCATCAATGCATTCAATGTTTCCGAACCAATCCAAAATTAATAACGCCTTTCATGGCTCCCCTACCTCGGCAACGTACCACCATTGAAAGACCGTTTTCTCAATGTGGAGTAGATTTCTGCGGTCCAATAATAATTCGAAGTGGTATCCGTCGAGTAAAGACTGAAAAGGCATATATATCAGTATTTGTGTGTTTAGTCACACGTGCAATTCATTTGGAATTAGTGTCATCTTTGACTGCCGATGCATTTCTAGCCACGCTAACTAGATTCATGTCTCGCCGAGGACAATGTAGTAACCTTTTCAGCGATAATGGCACTAATTTTGTTGGTGCGAATCGCAAACTCATGTCTCAGTTTGAGGAAATTGCCAAGACTCATGCAACATCATCATATTTATCTGAAAAATCTATGCAATGGCACTTCATTCCAACCTCGGCACCTCACTTTGGGGGCCTGTGGGAAGCTGCGGTCAAGTCTTCTAAACAACTTCTGACAAAACTATCACTAAGTGCAACATTTACATTTGAAGAAGCTACAACGTTGCTGTGTGGAATAGAAGGAGTTTTAAATTCTAGACCCATGACTCCGTTATCCAATGACCCATCAGACTATCAAGCGCTAACACCTGCTCATTTTTTGATTGGTGGAGTTATCACATTACCACCTGAAGCAGATTCATCGACAACCCCGATATCTAGACTTAAACGTTTTGCATTGGTACAATCTTGCATTCAACAGTTTTGGAAAAGATGGTCCCGGGAGTACCTTCCTCAATTACAACGCCGAGGTCGCTGGATTAAGGTAACTCGAAATATGAGAGTAGGTGACTTATGTCTTCTCCGACAGGAAAATCTTCCTCCTACAAGATGGGCTCTGGTCAGGGTTCAAGATGTTCAACCCGGTCCTGATGGCACCGTTCGAGTGGTCACGTTACGCAATTCCTCTGGCAACACTTTCAAACGTCCGGTGGTGAAACTTTCTTTATTACCGAGTGAAGAAGATGAGAAAGAAGAACCTTAGTCATCATCGAAAATGGATTTCAACCAATGTATTATTATTTTTTTTTTTTTTTTTATTTTGCTATCATTGATAATATTGCATGTAGCAAAATTATCATTTATTATATTTAGTTATTTTCATTCGTATTCATAAATGTGTCAAAATGATTGGTTGTTGTATATAATGTTGAAAGGTAGATCCTTTCAAAGGGGGCTGTATGTTCGCTCCGCAAACAAATTTATATTCTCGTTTCCGCGCCAGCAGCAATTCAGCTGGCTGTCTGGTGTGTGCATGTGTGTGTGATTCACGACAACGAATTGGGGAGTGCGCGTTTTGTCCCACCGTCAGATTGTGACATTGTGTTATCTTACTGATAGTGGCCATGTGCGTATTCCAACGGTCACATTTTCATATTATTATTTTTTCATGTACTATTCAATGTTTTTCGTAATTCATAAAGTTGTGTATCGCTTTCAGTGCCACCGAAAGTCTGTATTTCGTCGTATTAAATGTTTAAGGTGGTACTGATCGCATTTTCGTGAGTTATGCGTTTTTTCATTGGTCATTCAAATATTCATTCGTTTTCGTAAAAGCATCATATTCAACTCAATACGTTTCTTTTCTTTTTTTTT